ACGCCCTGCTACACTGACAAGGTAAGGATGTCATCTGTGGGATGACTCCACGCCCTGCTACACTGACAAGGTAAGGATGTCATCTGTGGGATGACTCCATGCCCTGCTACACTGACAAGGTAAGGATGACATCTGTGGGATGACTCCACGCCCTGCTACACTGACAAGGTAAGGATGTCATCTGTGGGATGACACCACGCCCTGCTACACTGACAAGGTAAGGATGTCATCTGTGGGATGACACCACTCCCTGCTACACTGACAAGGTAAGGATGTCATCTGTGGGATGACACCACTCCCTGCTACACTGACAAGGTAAGGATGTCATCTGAGGGATGACTCCACGCCCTGCTACACTGACAAGGTAAGGATGTCATCTGTGGGATGACTCTACGGCCTGCTACACTGACAAGGTAAGGATGTCATCTGAGGGATGACTCCACGCCCTGCTACACTGACAAGGTAAGGATGTCATCTGTGGGATGACTCTACGGCCTGCTACACTGACAAGGTAAGGATGTCATCTATGGGATGACTCCACGCCCTGCTACACTGACAAGGTAAGGATGTCATCTGTGGGATGACACCACTCCCTGCTACACTGACAAGGTAAGGATGTCATCTGTGGGATGACACCACTCCCTGCTACACTGACAAGGTAAGGATGTCATCTGTGGGATGACACCACTCCCTGCTACACTGACAAGGTAAGGATGTCATCTGTGGGATGACTCCACGCCCTGCTACACTGACAAGGTAAGGATGTCATCTGTGGGATGACTCTACGGCCTGCTACACTGACAAGGTAAGGATGTCATCTGTGGGATGACTCCACTCCCTGCTACACTGACAAGGTAAGGATGTCATCTGAGGGATGACTCCATGCCCTGCTACACTGACAAGGTAAGGATGTCATCTGTGGGATGACTCTACGGCCTGCTACACTGACAAGGTAAGGATGTCATCTATGGGATGACTCCACGCCCTGCTACACTGACAAGGTAAGGATGTCATCTGTGGGATGACACCACTCCCTGCTACACTGACAAGGTAAGGATGTCATCTGTGGGATGACACCACTCCCTGCTACACTGACAAGGTAAGGATGTCATCTGTGGGATGACACCACTCCCTGCTACACTGACAAGGTAAGGATGTCATCTGTGGGATGACTCCACGCCCTGCTACACTGACAAGGTAAGGATGTCATCTGAGGGATGACTCCACGCCCTGCTACACTGACAAGGTAAGGATGTCATCTGTGGGATGACTCTACGGCCTGCTACACTGACAAGGTAAGGATGTCATCTGTGGGATGACTCCACTCCCTGCTACACTGACAAGGTAAGGATGTCATCTGAGGGATGACTCCACGCCCTGCTACACTGACAAGGTAAGGATGTCATCTGTGGGATGACTCTACGGCCTGCTACACTGACAAGGTAAGGATGTCATCTATGGGATGACTCCACGCCCTGCTACACTGACAAGGTAAGGATGTCATCTGTGGGATGACACCACTCCCTGCTACACTGACAAGGTAAGGATGTCATCTGTGGGATGACACCACTCCCTGCTACACTGACAAGGTAAGGATGTCATCTGTGGGATGACACCACTCCCTGCTACACTGACAAGGTAAGGATGTCATCTGTGGGATGACTCCACGCCCTGCTACACTGACAAGGTAAGGATGTCATCTGTGGGATGACTCTACGGCCTGCTAAACTGACAAGGTAAGGATGTCATCTGTGGGATGACTCCACTCCCTGCTACACTGACAAGGTAAGGATGTCATCTGAGGGATGACTCCATGCCCTGCTACACTGACAAGGTAAGGATGTCATCTGTGGGATGACTCTACGGCCTGCTACACTGACAAGGTAAGGATGTCATCTATGGGATGACTCCACGCCCTGCTACACTGACAAGGTAAGGATGTCATCTGTGGGATGACTCCACGCCCTGCTACACTGACAAGGTAAGGATGTCATCTGTGGGATGACTCCACGCCCTGCTACACTGACAAGGTAAGGATGACATCTGTGGGATGACTCGGCCCTGCTACACTGACAAGGTAAGGATGTCATCTGTGGGATGACTCCACGTCCAGCTACACTGACAAGGTAAGGATGTCATCTGTGGGATGACTCCACGCCCTGCTACACTGACAAGGTAAGGATGTCATCTGTGGGATGACTCCACGTCCAGCTACACTGACAAGGTAAGGATGTCATCTATGGGATGACTCCACGCCCTGCTACACTGACAAGGTAAGGATGTCATCTGTGGGATGACTCCACGCCCTGCTACACTGACATGGTAAGGATGTCATCTGTGGGATGACTCCACGCCCTGCTACACTGACAAGGTAAGGATGTCATCTGTGGGATGACTCCACGTCCAGCTACACTGACAAGGTAAGGATGTCATCTATGGGATGACTCCACGCCCTGCTACACTGACAAGGTAAGGATGTCATCTGTGGGATGACTCCACGCCCTGCTACACTGACAAGGTAAGGATGTCATCTGTGGGATGACTCCACGCCCTGCTACACTGACGAGGTAAGGATGTCATCTGTGGGATGACTCCACGCCCTGCTACACTGACAAGGTAAGGATGTCATCTGTGGGATGACTCCACGCCCTGCTACACTGACAAGGTAAGGATGTCATCTGTGGGATGACTCCACGCCCTGCTACACGGACAAGCTAAGGATGTCATCTGTGGGATGACACCACGCTCTGCTACACTGACAAGGTAAGGATGTCATCTGTGGGATGACTCCACGCCCTGCTACACGGACATGGTAAGGATGTCATCTGTGGGAAGACACCACTCCCTGCTACACTGACAAGGGAAGGATGTCATCTGTGGGATGACACCACTCCCTGCTACACTGACAAGTTAAGGATGTCATATGTGGGATAACATCACGCCCTGCTACACTGACAAGGTAAGGATGTCATCTGTGGGATGACACCACTCCCTGCTACACTGACATGGTAAGGATGTCATCTGAGGGATGACACCACTCCCTGCTACACTGACATGGTAAGGATGTCATCTGTGGGAAGACACCACTCCCTGCTACACACGATATCGACAGGATCAGAGGGGTACGTTCATCCCTGACATGAGTGACTGACGAACCGTACAAACGAAGTCCACTATATGAACTCGTTTACCCGGATATGTATGTTATCTGTACAATCGGGTGATAATTACCATATATCAGGTTATCATGAGGCAACAGACCCCTGAAAATCCGGGTTAGAATAGTCTTCAGCAACTCTTGCTTGTCGTATATCAGGCGACTAAAGGGACCGGGTGGTCAGGCTCGCTGATTTGGTTGATGCATGTGAGGTGAGGTGAGGTGAGGTGAGGTGAGGTAAAATGGGGTTTAACGTCGTGTACAAGATTATTGCACTTATATAGCGACGTGCATGCACGTGTGTGTGTGTGTGGCTGCTGGTACTAGTCCGGACTGATGCCGATTTATAGTGCTAGCCCACTGAGATACCATGCCGCAGTTTAACATGAATACCCCACTCAGACACAGTATACTGACTCCACGGAGGCGGTCTGATGCATGTCAACCCTCGCATCCCGATTGCGTAAATCGATGCTCATTCTGTCCCTCACCGGATTATCTGGCACAGTCTGTATTATTTACAGACCGCTGTCATATGATATGGACCGCCTCCGTGGTCTTGTGGTAGAGCGTCCGCCCGGAGAGCGGAAGGTCCGGGGTTCGATCCCCGACCGCGTCATACCAAAAGACGTTAAAAGATGGCACTTGTTGTTACCCTGTCTGGCGCTCGGCATTAAGGGGCTAAAACAAGGACTGGTCGGCTCGGAGTCAGTATACTGTGTCTGAGTGGGGTATTCATGTTAAACTGCGGCATGGTATCTCAGTGAGCTAGCACTATAAATCGGCATCAGTCCGGACTAGTACAAGCAGCCACACAAACACACACACGTACATGCACGTCGCTATATAAGTGCAATAATCTTGGACGCGACGTTAAACCCCATTTCACCTCACCTCATATGATATGGCTGGAATATTGTTGAGGAAATAAATATTTAATTGATAAAGTATCACATTTAAAGCTGCGATAATAAGAAAAAAACAAATTATGTCAACAGTATGAAATTAGATATAGGCAGATTGGCATAATGATAGCAACGGCGCTTTCCACATATGGAAATATAATGTTTCTAAAAAATGTCATCTGATACACAATGCAGGGGCCAGTGAGTGAGTGAGTGAGTATGGTTTTACGCCGCTTTTAGCAATATTCCAGCAATATCACGGCGGGGGACACCAGAAATGGGCTTCACACATTATACCCATGTCGGGAATCGAACCCGGGTCTTCGGCGTGAAGAGCGAACGCTTTAACCACTAGGCTACCCGACCGCCCCCAGGTGCCAGTGAACTCATATAACTCGCATATATATATATATATATATATATATATATCTATCAAATGGGCCAACAGAATTGCTGACCGCGCGCCCGTCTTTGGTGTTATATTTATCATATGGAGGCGCGAATAAATACTACATTTTATCAAGAAACCTTTTGCAGTTGTCATAAACATACATCTAGTGATACAAATACTACTACAATGAAGGACTTATTAATGACTGTAAATGCATTCTAACACGAGCTTCGGGTTGTTACGGAAGCAGTTCAGTAATGGATCAATAAGACTTCAGTTCAGATCACGTGACACTGAACGATGGCCAGCTTAGATGGTGCTCGAACGGGTATAATCTCAATTCCTATTAATTAATAAAAGGCGCTTATCAACATCAATTCACTGTGATACATATTGGGGATTAAATGTTCATAGTACATACCTTAGACATAGATTCATATGTGATTATTTACCTTTAGCTGTGATTATTATTCCGCCGTAAACAATTCCTTGTGTGAGAATCTGACACAATTTCCCGGTCGGTTCACTCAAATCTTGCAAGGTCGTTCTCGCCAATATCTATTTTTATCCCCTACCAGCTGACAGCGCCGCTTTGTTCGACGGCCGGTACTTGACCATTGGTTTAATATTTCAACTTTTACCGGCGTTCTCCTTCCCCTTGTGTGTTGACGAGCCACATACCTGACAGATGTACACGAACATGGTGACGTAAGTGTATTTTATCAATATTTTTCAGTTAAAATCATCTCCACATTTTGTGGCAGAGCTCAGCGGAAGCGCCGATCAGCTGTTTTCAGCCGCGTCGTTTCGTTTGGCGATCCTAGCTCACGGTCACAATATATCGTGAAAAATATGGCCTGACTCAATCATGTCATTATGTTAAACTCCTCGCAACATGCTCCGCAAAACACCTACCATTATAATGCGATTCTGTTCGTGTGCAGTGTGCATATCTTGTGTACACACGCTTAACCAGGAGTCTACTAATATATATTAATGTGTATCCATCAATTTTGCATATATAGCAAAATCTGAATAATATGGATCTAAATATGGCATAGTGTGTGTTTTATATGGATGTGGGTTACGTATTCGTAATGTATACAGCTGTCAGTGAAAACCTAGCCGATCATGAGTGAACAGACCATCTAATTATGGACCTCGACGAAACAGGGATGACGTAAATACGATATTTTTGGACAACGTGACACAGATTCTACATGGATGATTTAATGCATGGGTGCATATTAATTTACAGTTTATATAACCATGTTGAACTCCTTCCTATCGATTATTCTACCTGTACTTATGCCGAACAATGCACGGGCAATTCCCGCTGATATAACCATGTAATCTCTTCGCTTGATGCATTGACATAGGTGTGAAATTGGTCCCGCGTTCGCTAAAACACACCCTGGCCGATGAAAACAACGCGACACCTTTGTGTGGTCATTTGTCGGCTGGAGGGTTTGTAGGCGCTTGATTACGTGATTATCTCCCTTTACCCATCCCCATCACCCGACCCCCAAGTTGACCCCTAGTTGAACCTCTGACCTTTCTTGTAGGTAGATAGATAAGCCAGTCAGTGCTGGTCTGCTAAAACCACGCTCTGTATTCCTGGGAACTATATTTCGTGTTACAGCACCATTTTTCATACTGAGTTGAACACTATACATATGGAGTTAATCCCGTTAGTCTGGATCTGGTTGGTTGGTTGCTTTGTTGTTTAACCCTGCAGGCGGCATTATTCCAGCTTTTTGAAGGCGGTCTGTAAATAATCATGTCTGGACCGCACAATCCAGTGATTTATATCATGAGCATCGATCCACGCAATTGGGATCGATGACATGCATCAACCAAGTCAGCGAGCCTTACCACCCGATCCCGTTAGTCGCCTCTGACGACAAGCATAGTCGCCTTTTACGGGGTTGCTGAAGACCTATTCTACCCCGGATCTTCTCGGGTCCGATTGTCTGGAAGCGTCCTCAGTGAAGTCGTCCGGTTTAACGAATTTCCAGATTAACGAATGTTTGTTTTGTATTGTTCTTTGTGGGAAAGCTGACATTCCCGAGACAGATGTGTTTGCCAGATGTCATAAATTATGCGCTGACAGTTCGTTGTTCTCCCGTGACACATGACATGGTACTTATCATGTATATACCGATCATCACTTGGCTGTTCTCATTCCACCTTGAGTACAGAGCAAGAGTCTACATCGAAACGTATGCAATGAACTAGACTAACATTTAGTCTCTGAAATCTTATATTACACAATATCCTTCTTGACTCTAAAAATAAAAAATATTCCCTATGCTGATTTGTGGAATAGAGCTAGCTTGAGCTGGCTAAACTTGCTTTTGTATGCATTTCTAGATGATTATTTTTTCATAAAATAAATATATTCCACGATCATGGTGCAGGACTAGCAATGAACCAGAATTGCCATCTATAAATTGTACGTTTTCTTGTTAACACCACAGACGTACAGACGTCTCTGTTTCCACTTTATGACCGTTATTCCACGGTTACATGTGATGTAAACCTCCATTTTGCCCTTCCTTACCACAGTGTACTCTATGACCCTAGACGCGGAGTCTGCTATGGGTCATCCAGGTACGTTATCCCGAGTGCAGCACGCGCACAATATGTATCTGTAAACAACACCCGCATCCGGTTTCGTAGTCCTGCACCATGACCGTGGAATATATTTATTTTATGAAAAAAAAATAATCTAGAAATGCATACAAAAGCAAGTCTAGCCAGCTCAAGCTAGCTCTATTCCACATCAGCATAGGGAAAAAAAATAATTTTTAGAGTCAAGAAGGATATTGTGTAATATAAGATTTCAGAGACTAAATGTTAGTCTACCGGTTTCGGAATTAGAGCGAAACAGAAACTAGGAGCACGTTGTAAGTCTAGTTCTATCGACCTATCTTCAATAACAATATTACATAATCCCGTGAAGATCCGGGTTAGAATTGGTCTTCAGCAACCCATGTCGTAAGAGGCGGCTATGCTTGACGTTAGAGGCGACTAACGGGATCAGGAGGTCAGGCTCGCTGACTTGGTTGATGCATGTCATCGTATCCCAATTGCGTGGATCGATGCTCACGATGTCAATCAGTGTATTGTGTGGTCCAGACTCGTATTATATACAGACCGCCGTCAAATAGCTGGAATATTGCTGAGTGCGGCGTTAAACAAACAACAAACAAATTATAAAATTAACAATAGGTGGGGAGTGGCTGTGAGATTGGTGTAAGAACTAAGAAAAAATATAGCGGCGTTAAACAGCAAACCTATTACAAGATACACACTTAAAATTATTTTCTTACAAATGCACATCGTCTGACGTGGACTCACACGACGGGTTACTGTTCAATGGGTTCTCTGACTTTTAAATGTGGGTAGGATACATCAATGCCGTGATCGAGCACGTGATCCACGGACTGAGGTGATGTCATGGGGTACATGTCGTGTTTCAGACACTGCGAGTAATATGTAATATGATGTCTACAAACAGGCTTGTCTGCACCAAGCCGGCCTCATTAACCCACAGGAAAGATTCAGAGATTACTGGGAATACTGACTCATATTACCGGCGAGAGAAAACAAGAAACCAAACAAGAAAACAACAAGCACAAAAGTGCACGCTGGCTTCCAAACTCGTGTCAAGTAGTGTCACAATAACGGTATCCATGGGTTCATTCCTCACCGAAAATGTTTGACAAGATTGTTAATTGTATTTGGTTGTTTGTAATTTCGAATTGTTGGAACTGGAATCCTATTTTAATTATCCAGTTTAACGGCTTATATAGCATTGCATGTCCCCGTCAGGAAACACACAGCCCAACTCTGGTAATAAGGTGTTACACGTTGCACTGGGCGTCACACGCTTGTGTACAGCGATGGGTGATCACAGACAGCACGATCGCCACGCGTGTTGTACAATAACAAGCGGAAACTACCTGTGTATGCATCTTTCCTTATGTAATTGTATAGCTGTTGATATTGTTCATCAAAGATGGTGAAAAAAGGACACCAAACACGAACATTGACAACCGTGATGAACATTGATGCCTGTGATGAAGATTGACACTCTTGATGAACAATGACACCTGTGATGAACAATGACACCCGTGATGAACAATGACACCTATGATGAACAATGACACCTATGATGAACAATGACACCTGGAATGAACATTGCCACCTGGAATAAACATTGACACCTGGGATGAACAATTGAACCAATCATGAACATTGACGCCTGTGATGAACATTAACACCGGTGAAGAACAATGACACCTATGATGAGCAGTGACGCCCGTGATGAACAATGACACCTGTGATGAACAATGACACCTGGGATGAACAACGGAACCAATCATGAACATTAACGCCTGTGATGAACATTAACACCAGTGAAGAACAATGACACCTATGATGAGCTGTGACACTCGTGATGAACAATGACACCTGTGATGAACAATGGAACCAATCATAAACATTGACACCTGTGATGAGCAGTGACACCTGTGAAGAACAATAACACCTATGATGAGCAGTGACACCTGTGATGTAAAAAGACACCCGTGGTGAACAATGGCACCCATGATGAACAATGGCACCCGTGATAAACATTGATACCTGTGATGAGCAGTGATACCCGTGATGAACAATGACACCTGTGATAAACAATGACACCCGTGATGAACAATGACACCTTTGATGAACAATGACACCCGTGATGAACAATGACACCTTTGATGAACAATGACACCCGTGATGAACAATGACACCCGTGATGAACAAAGACACCTGGAATGAACATTGACACCTGGGATGAACAATGGAACCAATCATGAACATTGACGCCTGTGATGAACATTAACACCGGTGAAGAACAATGACACTTATGATGAGCAGTGACACCCGTGATGAACAATGATACCTGGAATGAACATTGACACCTGGGATGAACAATGGAACCAATCATGAACATTGACGCCTGTGATGAACAATGGAACCAATGATGAACATTGATGCCTGTGATGAACAATGGAACCAATCATGAACATTGACGCCTGTGATGAACATTAACACCGGTGAAGAACAATGACACCTATGATGAGCAGTGACACCCGTGATGAACAATGACACCTGTGATGAACAATGGAACCAATCATGAACATTGACACCTGTGATGAACATAAACACCTGTGAAGAACAATGACACCTATGATGAGCAGTGACACCCTAGATGAACAATGACACCTGTGATGAACAATGGAACCAATGATGAACATTGACGCCTGTGATGAACAATGGAACCAATCATGAACATTGACGCCTGTGATGAACATTAACACCGGTGAAGAACAATGACACCTATGATGAGCAGTGACACCCGTGATGAACAATGACACCTGTGATGAACAATGACACCCGTGATGAACAATGACACCTTTGATGAACAATGACACCCGTGATGTACAATGACACCTATGATGAACAATGACACCCGTGATGAGTAAAGACACCTGGAATGAACATTGACACCTGGGATGAACAATGGAACCAATCATGAACATTGACGCCTGTGATGAACATTAACACCGGTGAAGAACAATGACACTTATGATGAGCAGTGACACCCGTGATGAACAATGACACCTGTGATAAACAATGACACCCGTGATGAACAA